CCTTCATCTCCATCCACTTCCTTCCATGACAACAGGAAATCGGCGTCTCATTCTCACCCAGTTCTCGCAGAGAACGCGATAGACTACCGCAACATCTACCCAGACCCTTCCGATGGCGTGTACCTAGAAGACGACCTCAAAAAGCCCTTCAAGCGGTACGTCTTTGACGAGAATGACGAAGACGAAACGACGAAGAGAAGCCCAAGCGATCTAAATGACCGAGGACGCGGGCGCACCATCGAGACTCAAGGCAGCGGTCTCGCAGTCGTGCGAGCAATGTGGGAGTTCCTCCGTCGAGCAGAAGGCGCAGATGGGTATTTGTCGTGAGTGGTCAGCGATGGAGTTGTTACTCTCTACCCATCACAACTCACACCACGAGCTCATCAAGAGTGTAACCAAGTTGTTGACGTGTCAGAACAGAAACGCTGGCCCATCCTCCTTCTCACAATGGGAAAGCGACGCTCCGCTCTCCTGCCCCAACACCATCGGCAGGATACAAAGAGAATGGCATGAGACTGCCGAGAAATGGCCACCGACAGTGAGGTAGATGCTCAGTGTCGTGGAACTGTACGTGCACATGGAAGTGTGTTGTCTGACTGGAGGAGAGGCATGCTGTTGGTTGATGGGGCTGGAGCTCTTCTTTGAAGCGGAGCATTGGTGATGGAGAGAGTTGTATGCTGAGGGCACTGTTGTGGAACGAGAGAAATGGTTGGATTCGGTATAAGGAAAGCGGGCAGATGGTGTTGGATTGTTGCGGAATCGGTAGATGGCGTGGGATATGTCAGATTGGAAAGCAGTTTTGCAGTAGAAAGCTAGACTTATGCTGGGTTAGATGCTAGTTTGGAAACGGCTTTGCAAAGCTACTAGTTTCACCGTCCATTCTCTCCATCTTTGCTCACGACTAGCTCGTCACTGTTGCACTCCTTTCTTTGGAAAAGATATTCAAAACCTTGACTAGGCTCCTCTTGTGTCCTCTTGACCTGTCCATCCTCTACAGCCATTCCCCTACCTCACATAATCCCCAACTCCCCAAACCCTTTGAGAACCTCTTTATCCACGCGGCTCAGCCACTCTTCCTGGAAGGCTTGTTCTCCACCCACTTGTTGGATGACCTGTTGAAGATGTTCCCTAACGAACGCAACGAGATTGATCTGATGCACAGGATCAGTGTAGATGAGTTCGCGTTTGCGGATATCCTCCGGTGCCTCTGGTTCGGTAGGATGGTAAGGTTCTGGAGGCCAGAAGAGAGAACTAGAACGAGACATCAGTATGGGTACGAAAACAGTGAACGGAAGGGTGTACGCACTCTTGACTTCGGTCATCCATGCCATCCAGCAATTCCCCGAGTACATCCGTCCAGATCCCTATCAACGATTGCAGCCTGCCCAACATCCAAGGCTGCGCTCCTTCTAGGAAACGTGTGAGAACGAGACACATGAGCTTCTTATTTGGCGCATCGCCGATGTTCTCGATATGGCCGAACCACTCTTCCAATAACCAGTCTAAAGTCTTCTCTAGGCCTTCACTTGATAATGCGGACAGGGCTTCGAGGAGTACAGAAGGTGAAGCCATGCCGATACGTGCTAGCACGGTGAAGTAATCAGTTTCCACGACACCATCCACGGCGCGGGAAGGAAGTTCGCGGTAAGGGCCGTGGGACTGGTGGTGTGTCCATGCGCCGTGAAGACCCTCCAAAACCTTTGCTAGAAATCCGGAAGAGATCAAATCACTAGTCAGAACCTTGACAGCGTTCTCACCACCTACACCTTCCGCACCTCGAATAATGCATGTAACGAGATGTGTCATTATGCCGTTGGCTTCGGGCTTCAAGTTGCCCAGAAGCTCGGCGAGGGCTTGGAGGATTGCGGGGCGGAAAGAGTCTGCGAGGACGGCGGAGGGCGCAAGGAGCAAATAGGCTTCTGTAATCTCGATGGCTTTTCGTAGGGTCTCGTTATCCATGGAGAACAGAGGTAGCAGGTATTGGAGCAAGTTGAGCAACTCAGGAGGTGTAGGCTCTGGTGCTGATGGTGTTTGTGCGATGATAGATGCCCATAGATCGAGTGCATCTTCAAGGAGGTAGACTTGGGTTTCTGAACCAGGCTCGATGGCACTCTGGATGATGGGTAAGAAGGAGACGTGGAACGAACGTGACTCGGCTTTCATAGCGTTCGTTAGACGAGCCAAAAGTGTGAGAATGGCTTGCTTCATGAGATGCTCTTCGCCAGACTGCTCCCACAGCGGTGGGAGGAGTGCGATGATGCTGTTGGCGTACGGTGTGATCTGCATCCTGTCAGTCCAGATACTTCGAGTGCTCCCGTCTCTGACTTACGTGATGCTCTAACCTGTATACAACAAGACTAATGGTGTTTAGCAGTGCCATCTTCGTTTCTGGAAGTTCCACCTCTTGGACCAGCGCCATCAACCTATCGAGCATAAGCTGCGAGTACGGCAGGAATGCATCTGCCTGAAACTCCCACTCGTCGGCGACGGCATGGAATTTCCTTCCCGCAGTTATTCGCACCACTTGATCGTTCATGGGATCGCTCTTATCAAGAAGATGTTGGAAGATCTGGTAAACGATAGGCTTCTTCTCCTTGGCCATCTTAATAGTTATCCACTGGGAGATGATAATGGCGATGCGGCGACGAATGATGTTGAAGCCCGGTGTCTGCTTCGCTGCCTCGACAACCAACGTCTTTTCAAGGAAGGTGTCGAAATCAAGTTGATCGTGCAGAATATCAGCTGCCAGTCCAACGGCGGTGTAAACAGAATCCTTGAAGAGGATGTCTTCGTTTTCCGGTGCTATGAAACATTAGCGAGGGTCATCTTCTCCTAAAGTGAGTACTCACTCGCGACTGTGTAGAAGACTTGGAGCAGAGGCTGAATGATCAAATTTTTGAAATTCTTTGCGAGGTCTAGGAACAGCTTCTCGGCACAGGGTCGGATCGCAAATTCCCAGTCCTCTGCTCCCTCTTCCATCTTCTCCCACTCGTCGGGCTCTTCCTCCCACATACGAAGGTCGCTGGGCCGGAAGACGAAGAAGCGCTGTACAAGTGCTGAGATCATTTCACGAACGAGGTCGTCAGTGAGTAGGTCTGTCTTGACCTTGTGCGTGGCCGCATTTTTCTCATCCTTTTCCTGCTGGTGCTTGAAGCGGAAAGTCTGAGTAGGGAAGAAGACCATCTTCACGCATGCACGAATCAGTAGCAAGCCTTTGAGACCCAGACGCTCGAGGATGGGTGCTTCATCTTCGGCATCGCCATCAGTACCGACTTTGGCGCCCTCAATAGACTTTGAGCCCCATTGATCCCCTAGTCGTGAGATGAGGCTCCAGTAGTCGCGCGCAAGCTCTATCGAGTTGGGTAAAAGGACGAAATCTGCTGGGTGAGTCGTGGCCATGTTGAGGTGCAATTTTGAGAGCTGCATCAAGTGCCTGCCTATCTTCTTTTGAACTTCGCCTGCAAGCGGTGAGTTCTCCGATATCACGTATTGCAGGAACTCTCCGAGATGAGTACGGGTCAGTGTCCAGAATTCTTGCACATCCTTATCTCTGCCTGGGAACTCGTAGCCGGCGATTATAAGTCTCCGCATAGTCTTGATAGCAAGCAGACTGTTGTCGATGCTCTCAAGCGCACCGCCTTCGTCGTCTCCGCCATCGCGAAAGAAGGCTTGCCATGTTTGGACCTTGTTCACATAGATGGTACCGAGTACGTTGAAGACCTCCGGCGCGACAGTCTGTAAGCTCTGCCGTGTTCGTAGAAGTCTTCCAGTTGACAGTTCCTTGACGATGTATAGCAAGACGAGAAGGGCGCGAGGGAGTTGTAAGCGGTAGGCGTTCGGATCGGTCGAGGTGCGAAGGATGTGGAGTAGTTGTTGGAATAGATCTGGCCTAGAAAGTGTTAGAGTAGGGAAGTCTATGTCGGGTTGGACTGACCAGTCATTTGGGAACTCGAAACGGACGATCTTAGCGACGACGAGAGCATTCTGTAGGGCCAGGCGATGGTCGGCTTCGTTGATGGCGCTTTCGAGTAGACGGGCCCGTATGGTAGCCTTGTCTTCTTTGCTTACAGCACTGCAGTCACGTAAGCCTATGCATCTCTGCGGCTTTATGTGGAGGCGTACTTGGTGGCAGTCTTGCGCCAGTACTTGTCGATGCCGTTCTTGAGCTGGATGATGGCGAGGTAGCGCACTTCGAGGGGGAGAGATTGGTTAAGGAATACCGTCTACTAGTGTCAGTCCGGTGTAATTCAGTAGGCTAAGATATGCATACCTGCAGCAGAGGATAGAAACCCGCGGCCTTTTCCCATTGCTGGAGTTGCTTGGTGCCGGTCTGGACTTGGGTTTGATCTGCTGAGGACGCTGATCGCAGGACGTGGAACAAGATGCTCTCAGTCAGAGGATTCGCCTCCGCCGGCGCTTCAATGCTGAACTCTGTATTCATGCTGTGAGTGTTGACGGTCAACTATCGCGGTAGTGGGGCAGCCGCAAGTAGGTGAACTTTTGGATATGGCAGGAACAGGCAAGTAGTTGGGCGGAAGTGGCTCACGGCTCAGGCTGAATGTATAGTCTTATGGAGCCTGCTCACCCAGGCTGCGATCAGGATGCGGCAAGTCTTGTTTGGGAAGTCTATCTTGGTGTTTGGAAACAAATTCGAGAAGCTCCCCGCCTGACAGCTCGGACCTCCGAGACACGAGACAGTGATTCTGGGGCACCTTGTTGGCAGTTGACATATACTGCATAAGATGATCAAGTGTATGTCATCTGTCTAGCGTGTACTTGAGTATGGTCTCTCCACAGAAGCACTGTTATGGGCGTGTCTGAACATGGCCCCGGCGTGTCTGGAGAAGGCGTCGCGCGCATCGGCTACTCCCACGCCTTCCCCAGCCAACCTCGGTCCGTCGCAACTCGAGCCTCGTCTCCCCATCACGCTGTCACGTTGCAGCCACATCTCGCGCCATCGCCAACCACGCCCGTAACATCAACCCTCCCAATGCTCCCAAATGCCCTCCGCAGACTTCGCCGCCGCCCAGCAACGCATAGCAGCCCGCCGCGCTCAACGCGCCCTTCAACAGCGCAATCACCATGAGCCGCCGCCATCAACCGCACAACGCGCCCTCTCGCGCCTGCCCTTCCCCTTCAGCAGCGTCTCCTCGACCGGATTCAGCGTCTGGGACGCGATAAAAGGGCGCTCGGGAACACGACCAGAGTTCCGCGTCGGCCAAGTCGATGCCGAACTCCTCGATGAGGAACTCCTTACCCTGATGAAGGGCCAAGTCGGCGAGGGCTTGAAGTACTTCGGAAGCCATATCACAGATCACTACTCAGCCGAGATATTGCTGGCATTGAGGGCTGTGCTGTGGAAACTGAGCATTTGGGACCAGAACGCGAGTTATGGCGCGCATCTACAGGGGCTGCGGTATACGGATGCGCGGAGTAGTGCGCCGAATCGCCCACCACCCAAGCCATGGCAGAAGATTGCATACGGCGCTGTCACAGTGGGCGGACGGTATGCGTGGACGAAATGGGAAGAGTACCTTTTATCCGCTTCAGAAGACTACACCCGGCCCGAGAGTGCGCGATTGAAAGTCCTGGGACGATTGAGCGAACTGGCCGGAAACGCACACGACGTCCTCGGCCTTGCCAGCTTCCTCGTCTTCCTCGTCGACGGCCGGTATAGAACGATAACCGATCGCCTCCTCCGTCTCCGCCTGACACCAACCTCGCACTCCACATCACGCGAAGTCAGTTTCGAGTACCTCAACCGCCAACTCGTCTGGCACGCCTTCACCGAGTTCCTCCTCTTCCTCCTCCCCCTCGTCGGCATCTCGCGCTGGCGCCGCATCCTAAGCCGCACATTCAAGAAGCTACGCACGACCGTCCTCTCCCTCCTCGGCCGCTCGAAACCCGCCAGCGACGAAGACGACGAGGAGAGCAAAGCAGCCGGCGAACTCGGTTTCCTCCCTGAACGCACCTGCGCAATCTGCTACCGCGACCAAAACCCCACAACCACCACCGAAGCCGACATCCTCACTTCCTCGGCTGGCGGCGGCGGCGTCGTCGGCTCCGCAACAACCGACATCACCAACCCCTACGAAACTATTCCATGCGGCTGCATATACTGCTTCGCCTGCATCGCACAACGCATCGCAAACGAAGAAGGCGAAGGCTGGATGTGCCTCCGCTGCGGCGAGACCGTCAAGGAATGCCGGCCCTGGAACGGCGATGTCATTGAAGAACAGCCCCGTCGCGTTGAGCATACCGAAGTGCATGAACGACCCAGCACAGCCAAGTCTGTTGGTTTCGCCACTGCTGGCGATGAGCTGGATGAGAAGGCGCTGCTGAGGGAGGTCGATCCCATGCCGGAGATGGAAGACGCCGCGGATAAAACGCAAGAAGATGAGGAGGGTATTATGGGCACGACTCACACGCGCGGTCTGGATCTCGGAGAATCCTTGTTCACGGAGAGTTCAGAGTGGGCGCGTGCGAGCGAAGATCGAAGCAGCGATGATGAGCAGAGTGAGGAGTACACTGGAGAAAGTGAAGAGGAAGAGGAGGGTGATCAATCGGGCTTTTACGACCGACGATAAGACTTGGGAGGGTTGGTTTGGTTAGGTTGGGGCTACTACACGACTGTTGTATAATTACTGGATGCGTTGAATTGCAAGATACCCTGATTTCTCAAGCTTGGTTCGTTCCATTGTGCTATGCTATCAAGTGTCATTGAGCTATCGTGAGACCAGTCTGTTATTGGACTCTGACGTTGTGATCTTGATATTTGGTGAGTGATCGATCATAGATGGATATCACATGCAAAGCCAGAGTCTCTTTCGCGCCGCAACACCTTGATTGATGCGGTCCGCCCTGCCTCGTGTAGCATCTGTCGGCTCTTGCCTTTGCGCTGGCCTTACGCCCTTTAGCGTAAATGCCAACGTGCATAGTCGCAACCTGGCCTTCTCTCGTTATACACAGCAACCCGCCCATTGTCTCATCACGTCCGCATGAAATCCGCAAACCTCGGCAGCGCTGCCATCTTCTCCTCGGGACTCGTTGTCTCGGCGAAAAAGATGAGGCGCTGGTTCTTGTCCTTTTTGCTCTTCTTCTCTTCTTTTGGCGCGGCTTCTTTGGTCACTTCGTTGATCAAATCGTCGACAGAGTTGGATATGTCGCCGTTCTGACCAGACGGGTATGCACCAGGTAGTGGAGCGCCGAAACCAGGTCGAGGAGGTAACGCGCCAGGTTGACCGGGTATACTGCCAGGCCGTGGAGGCATGCCACCGTTGGCGGGCGAGAAAGGTTGCGGGACGCCTTGAGGAGGGTATGCGGGCGCGCCGGGTGGGAAGGCCACGGGAGCGCCAGGGGGTGGTACGCCGTACGGTGTTTGCGCAACTGGTGGTGTCTGTAGATGTATTAGTCCCATATCCTGTCTCTGTCCAGAATCTCGAATACATACAGCAGTCTGTACTGGCTCCACAGGCGCGGGTAGAACGCCGTTCTTTCGATCTTCTCTGAACTGGGCCGCCCTCTTCTCAATCTCCTCCAGACTCTCGTTGATCTTCGGCCTCTTGTTCGGTGCAGCTTGGCCATTGACGTACGCTCCACGCATGGGATTACCGGTAATTCGTGCGCGCTCTTGCTCCTCGGCGAAATGTGCTTGTGTGACTTGCTGGTTGTGCTGGTCTATTATCTCGGCGGGGACACCTTCCATACCGAAGATCTCCAGCTCGAGACCTTGACGGCCGGGATTGGCATTTTCAACGTGAGTGAGCGTCTCCTTGTGGACCTGGTTCATATGCACGGAGAGACCTAAGAAGCTGTTAGTATTGCTTCTGCAGTGCGCGGAGTTGATTCAAGCGGTGCGTACCTCCGGCAGTATTTAACCGTCTTCCACAGCGGTCGCATTTGAAATGTTTGGCCTTTTGGTGAGAGATGAGAATCTTCAGGTCGTCGAAGTCGCGCTCGCAGTAGTAACACCATGGTCGCTGCAGACGTCAGTATGGGCGCTGTATGCGGTTTGGGTGCGCATATCGTACCTCGAGCTTCTGGTTCAAATCCGGATATCTTCTGCGTTTCTTCGTCATGTTTGCGATTGGTAAGAGGCAAGTGGGGAAGGCGTGGTCGCGCTCGCGGTCGGTCGAAGTGAAGCTCAGGGCTCGCGGTTCCTCGAGAGCTAGCCTAGCGCGGTGGTCCATGCGACGAACATCTCAACTTTTCTTTCCACTCACCCACTTTCACCTACAACATCACAATGACAGACATCGTCAGCCTCTAATGTGAGGACGAAACCATGTCGGAGTGTCATTCTAAATACCTCCCTCCATTATAGGACGCAACCCGCACACCAGCCACTTGAGTCTCCGACACTTTTACGAGTCCCTTTCGGGGGAGCATCCCACAGCTTTGCGTCTTGCTCAGCTGTGGTGTATGCGGCTGTACTTCAGTACGTGCATTCTTCGTCTGACGAAGTCCGTTGCAAGAACAAATAAAAAGGTCCTTCATAGTTCACACTTCCTCGCTCTTCGGAGAAATCCTACGAAGAGTGTGACTCCTTGGCTACCTACATATCTGCTTGCTCTACCAGAGCCATCAGGCTGAAGTTGGGGTTCTCGTCTTCGCTTGCCATCATACCGCGAATGACGCCAAGGCATTTCTCGGAGAGAACGTCTTCACCTGCTGTGAGCGTCCCGAGGTCTATCGGCCGCTTACGGTCGCCGTCAAGTTGGTATAGATGGCTGTCTTGGGCTGATTTGACAAAGGCGATGTAATGATAGTCCACCTCGTCTTCCGCGTTGAGGGGCGCTTCAGTATCTCCCATGCTTGCTACTCCAGCATATGTCCGTTCGAGCCCGTCGTTCTTTTCCAATGCCTTCGCCAGCTCCTCTGAATCAGGCGTCAGACTAGCATCAAGTAATTGGGCGATGATCGAGTCGCTGTCTGACCGGCATCAGTACGGTTGTTAATTAGGGACATGGCTATCACACCGATCCTCCGTCGCGCCTCGCCATTACAGACAGCATGCAGTATCGCATAAAGACCGCATGCATTATTGATGGTCTGCTTGAAGAAGATCACGTCACCAGCACCTCCAGAGGTTCGAAACTCCTCAAGCTTAGCGTCCTCGTCTTGAACTCGCTTTTCATAGTCGTCCGTCGTCGGAAACACCAGTATCAACGCAAAGGCGGGACGCGGAAGAAAGCCAAGCAGTTCTGGGTCGTCCAAAGAAAGCACATCCTCAAAGACTAATGAGGTGGATAAACCGAGCTTATGCGCAAGCTCGGTGAAGACGTCTGGATTTGACTCGAGAGGAATGAAGTGCTTGGTATATACCGGTCCGCAAGCTTGGTCTGCAGTGGTCATTGTTGGTAAAGACATGTTGTTGTGGTTTTCCTGCTGTCATGTCAGATGTGCTTGCCACTTCGGAGTTAAAGCTGAGCATCGCGCCTGCTTCGTTGGCTACGCTAACCAGGTTGGGTCAGTTCACAGTATAGCTTCAGTCGTACACGAACACGCATTCTAGGGGTACAACTACCTCATTGTATCACTGAAAACATTTTGATTTCTCTAGCTCAATCCAATACCATCTTCATCTTCAGTTTTACTCCTCTGGACCTCGTCATCTCACGGGCATGTTGAATGCCAATGATCCTCTCAATTCGCCAACTACTTAGTACACCCATAACATTGGTCCTTGTAGCAGTATTTGAATCCTTTACAGTATTGGTCGGTATTACATTCAATATAATTGTAGCCGCTGGGGTCATATGTAGCCCAGCACCAGTCTCCTCCTGGAGTGCACTACGAGGGTTGTTAGCATCGCACTAACAACAGTAAGATGCACGAGGTTCAGATGTACCTTGAACCAGCAAGAATGCTGGCTACATCCATAGTCCGTGTCTGCACAGGTCTTGACGCTGGAGTCTTCGAAGAGATCTTGCGTGATCGTGATGCTGATGTCTCGGGGGCGATGGCTATTAGAGATTCTGCCTGGGGCTTTCTCTTCGATCATGGATCGGTCTTCGATAATGGCTCGGGGTGCACATGCTGCGAGTTGGGCATACATGGCTGTGGCAACGAGTGCAAGGATGATCTTCATGTTGGTGATGGGTGGCTTGGGATGACTAATTGTACTGATCAAAGTCTTTGTGATGAGTACTGTACTGGCCTGCAGAGTGTTCATATACCACTGCTGAGAAGGTTTCCGGAAAAAACGTTGTCGTGGTGGTGGTATCTTGGAAAGCAGTACCATATCGATACTGCGTTGTCTCGAAACACCACAGTATACCAAGGCTTGAGTCTTCGAATTGGAATCACAGTAGAACGATTGACTACATACTCACTGGAACATCTGGGCCGGCTTCCTTTTACTTACGTAAAAGTGAACGTTGGAAACGCCCAATGCAATGAGACCAACAGACATATTCGCTGCCGTACTCGAGTCCACGATCTCATGGCTGCCGTTGTGCGTGGCAAAGCGGAAATATCAATGGATTGCCCGGGTGATGTCCGATCTGTTCAACCGTGGCTGTGTCGTACATGCATGAGCTTACCGCCCTTGTAAAGGGACGACCTGTGTCACCCGAACAACACCGACTGTTGATCGCCGAGCAAGAGCGACACAAATAGCTTCAGGTGACTGCAGTGGCTTCCTGACTGGGTTGTGGTAAATCATTAGTTTCCGTTGCTGGAGTTAGTGTGAACCTATTTCGAACACTCTACAATGTGCATTTAGGGATAAGATCGATATGGTGGATACGAAATAACAAGACACATTGCATTGATCATAGAACTTCTTAATTAAAACTGGTTGATGAGCCACTTGCCATCTTGTGAGCCAAAAAGAAGAACCAGCCAAACAGCAGGCAAGAGGCTCAGTCATAGATCAAGATTGTATAAGCTGCGCAGCTCATCACTTATCAGCGCAGCCGTCAGGGCACCCATTCAACGGGCACGCAACTGCAACCATGGGGCAATCAGCAGCAGTTTTACATAAGGCAGAGTTGCCATTAGAATCTCTTCCCCAGCACCAATCTCCAGCACACGTACACTAACACATGTATCAGCATCGCGACGATATAATTTCTCCCTTAGAGATGGGAAGATAAAACTGACTTTCCTCCAGCAATAGCCTTGTTCACAGCCAAAGTCTTCTGTGACACAATGTCCCGCCGATGAATCATGGAATGGGGAGTACGCGACATTAATCGTAACGCTGAGCTGTTGCTGTGGGCGGAGCGAGAGACGTTTGTCGGCGCCTGCCATGAAGTGTTGAGGCATACCACTACCAATGCGGGCGTGTAGTCCCACTAGAAGAAAGCTTATGATAGTGCTCTTCATGGTGAATGATATAGCAGTTCCAAGGTTGTGAGTGAGGGATGGAGATAAAGAAAGAAGATTTGGAGAGTGCGAGCAGGCAAGTTATACTGTTTCGCGTGCTACAAGGTATTCTGGTCTTACGTAGGCCAGTGGCTTCGTGGTTCTCGTGGTGCATGCGCCTCGTGGCATGAGGCGAGCTACGCATCCTCCTTGAGGTCGTGAGGTGTCATTGTAGGCGGAATTTGGGGTTTAGGGAGCAAGGAGTGAGAGAGGCACATGGGTGTATTGAGGGGGGGCAAGAGTGTGGGGAAGGTTGTGCTGGAGTTGGAGTAGATAGTGATTGATATTTACGGATACGATCGTGGATCCAAATGATATCTTGCTATGCCGTTGGTAGTGTAGACATCTCGGCTACCTTCGGGTGGGTGAGATGCGGAGCAGAACTGGTGGAAAGGTGTCAGTGCTTGGGAGACGCGAGGTAAGGAGTCGAAGATTGCGTAAGGGATTGGGTGTTCGATATCGAGGGTGAGTAGTTCGTCACAGCGGAATCTTGAAAGGTACGCCAAAGTGAGTACATGTGCATTGCACGAGACCGGAGCTATTGGGTGCAACTCTAGCTGCATATTGCAACGCGTCCAAGGCTTTCGATGTTAGAAGAGACTGCTTCTCATTGGCTCATTGAGCTCTACTCCCAGTCGTAGCTCATGGAATGCAATATGACACCAGAGTTGCAGGCGACTATTTGATGCCCGATCATGACTAGCTGGATATAGTGCTATAACACGCAACTCATTAGTCACTCGTTGTATGAGTCGTATCAAACAGTGACTGTACCTGACTATAAAAGATCCAAAGCAACAAACGTTGAGCACTTTTCCTTTAACAAATCTCTCAATAAGCTAAATCGGCAGCGAGAACTAAGTTCCCCGCCCACCATATTGCATCTTATATGTAGGGCCTCAAAGACTATGACCGTCACGTAGCCAGATCTGGACCGGGTATCCAACATGGCATCAAAATGTCCGGAGCCCCAAGATTCACACTTCAAAGCCCAGTCAAGCGATCGAAGAAAGGAAAGAAACCGGAAGCGTAGAGATCATAACACTTGCTCAAGACTGCCTATCCAACTATAAAGACGTTAGTCTACACTTTGACGCGGCGAATGAAGCAATAAAAGCGAATATATGTATCCAACCCACCAAAGAGGAAGGCGACAATCTATACCACTGGAAAAAGCAGTACGAGACCCTTCCGGATCTTCCACAAGTACCATCTTTGGGACCACCTTGATCTGGAAGACCCTGAGGCACGCTTTGGGTTTGCAGAAGCAGTTCAGCAAACCAGATCTCGAGTGGAGAACCTTGGAACAACCTAGTGAGGGTACTTCAAAGGGTCAAAGACACTTTGAGAAACATCCGAGATCTTAAGAGGACGTGCTCCAAGGGAGGATATGCGAGAGACAGGGTCATATACTGAAGCAGACGGTCGTAAAACGATGGCTGAGCCAGAGTTTCAGGAGAAAGTGGAGGTCCTTACTGAGTGCAACAAATTGTACTATTGACCGAAAGTATTGGAGCTGAAAGGTTTGCTGAAGATGGTGCGTCACTCGGTCAGGCAACCGAAGAACCCACGATGAACATCGAGAACACTACTATCGAGACTCTTGGTCGAAGTTGCGGCTGCGACTACCTTAGGGTCGAAAAAGAGTTCTAGGCCGTAAGCCACCACGTATACTTCCAAGGTTATCTTGGGTGGCATCACGCCACAGGTGGAACCTGATGAGGGAAATATTAGACCACAAGACGACCCACGCGGCCATGGAATGAAGGAGTTCCTGGAGAATAACGTGTCATATTGGTCCGTCTTCGAGCAATGCGGAAATCTCCGTAAGTGGGCAGTTTGGGACGGAGAACACAAGAAGGGTGACGCCTCTCTCGATTACCGAACTCGGAAGCCTATTCCAAAGCAAGACGACCTGCTCAAATATCAACCGCGAATAGAGAAACGCCAGAGGTATCCACGATAAGCTAGAGATCAGATGGGAGGCGTGTCGTAGTAATGGCTGTAATATATAAATTTCTATTCAAACGTCTCACAATTACCTCCTGGTATATGCTGGGGTATCAAAATGCTTCCAGTACGCCGTAGTGTCAATGCCGTAGCCCAACCCAAATCCCCATATTGTAACAAAAGCGCTGTCCAGTGCTGCAATTCTGTAAACCAACGCCATATATGCAAGACCGATTATTACTCGAAATTGAAAAAGGCGTCGTCGAATTGCGACTGTTCGGGGTTCTCGTACTCGTCCATGTTGAAGAGGTCCTCGAGGTTGTCGGTGGTCATGGTGTCCATCATCTCGTCGTTGGTAGTAGTGATCGGCTCTTCCTTCTTCTCCTCGACCGGCGGCTGTTCGGCGGGTTTGGGTTCCTCGGCCTTTGCAGGCTCAGGCTCGGGTTCCGCTGGCTTTGCGGCCGTCGCATTGTCGCTCGTATTTGCGGTCGCATCGGTATTCATGTCCAAGCCTGGCAGATCTGACATGGTGAAGTCAATGTCCATGGCCGAGGCTTGGTTCGCGTCGTCATCGCTGTCCTTGGCGAAGTCCTCGAGACCGCGTAGTAGCGAGGGTCCGTCGTTGCCGTCATCGAGGTTAAAGTCCATGTCGCCGGAGGTATCCATCATGTCATGGTGCGGATTGTCGCCCGATGTGTCCATCGCGTCGCCGAACATGGCATCGAAGTCGAACTCGGACTCTTGCGCGTTGCCGGTGGTGGGCGTGCCGTCGAAGAGGGGGTCTTTCGGAGGCTCAACGTCGGTCTCGATGGGCGGCGGCGGTGGTGCTTTCGCGTCTTTCGCGTCGTCTTCTTTCTTCGGGGGTTCTTCTGCCTCGGGCTCCTTTGCGCTCGCTGCCTCGGGCGCCTGTTCTGGTTGCGACACGGGTGGCTCGGGCGCTGCTGGTGTCGCAACCTTTTCCACCTTCACAGGCTCTTCCTCAACTGGAACCGGGACATTCTTCGCCTCCGCTGCCAGTCGCGCCTTCTCGACCTCGTGCTGCTTCGCTG